TGTCTGCTGGTGCCGCCCGCTGCTGCTGGGTTTGCTGCTGCCTCTGCATTCTCCTTGTGATTGTCCACTGAGGGTGCTGCTTTCGCTGCTTTTGCTGCTGCTGCTGCTGCTGCGCCTGGCTGCTCACCCCGTTCTCCTGTGTACGCCTCGGTTGCGCTCAGTAGCTGCGGCTCCTCATGAAAGTATTTGCCGCAACTGCTGCCATCGCTGCTGGTGCTGGCGTTGGCACTGATACTTTTGTTGCTGCTGCTGCCGTTACTGCTGCTGCAGGACGAGATAATTCCTGTCTCCCATTCTCGGCGTTTGCTGTCGAGCGCCCCGAATTCTGCCGCGCTGCGCGTATCGCATCTCCCGCCCCATGCCAACCACTCTGTTGGCCTCGATCCTGCAGGTCTGCTGCTGCTGCTGGTGCTGCTGCTGGCGTTGCTGGTGTTTCTTCCGGTGTTGCTGGTGGTGCTACTGCTGCTGGTGCAGTTGACGTCCTGCTTTTGGTGCTGCTGCTGCTGTTTGCGGATGCAGCAATGAAGGAAGAGATACTGCAGCCGCTGTTGTTGTTTCTTCGNTGCTGCTGCTGCTGTTTGCGGATGCAGCAATGAAGGAAGAGATACTGCAGCCGCTGTTGTTGTTTCTTCGAAAGGTGCGGTGTGCGGCTCGCCTGAAGCGGCAACAGCAGCTGCACCACAAGAAACACCTAGAGGCCCAAGCGAGGAGAGCAGCAGCAGCAAATGCAGCAGCAACTGCTGTTGCTGCTGCTGCTGCAGACTCACTTGTGGGGCACCTACAGCCCCAGGTGTCTCGGCTGCTTCGTGAGAGGACCAGCTGCGTTGGCAGGTGGCAGTCGCAACAGCAGCAGCAGCAGCAACTGCAACAGCAACTGCAGCAGCAAAGAAGGCTGCAGCAATTTGAAAAGGCAGCAGGAACAGGTAGTGTCTCGATCAGGCACTGTATTAGAGCCCCCGTTGCAGCACGCAGCAGCAACAGCAGCAGCAGCAGCATCAAGCGTCACCACTCCGTTGAACCGCGGCTCATGAGGCCTCTTTCTGTGCAGCTTGCTGCTTCCTCACTTCAGCAGCAGCAGCAGCAGCAGCCGCTGCACCACCGCTCCTTNGCAGCAACAGCAGCAGAGGCGAGGCAGCCCGAGCCGCAGGCGTTCAGGGGCATCCCCTCGATCTGCGGCTGCAGCAGCAGCAGCTGGAGCGGCAGCATCTGACGCCTTTGAAGCTGCGGGAGCCCCAACGTCTGCAGCAGAAGCCAACGTGAAGGAGGTGCGGCTCCCCCAGGCCTTCTTTGGCGACTCAGATGGGGAGGGTTCTCCTGCTGCTTCTGCTGCAGCAGCAGCAGCAGCAGCGAGTGCTGACTTCCTAGGGGGCGACACCTCAGACACAGGACGAGCCATAGCTGTATCTACGGCGGCATCGGAGGAAGCAGCAGAAGCAGCAGCAGCAGCAGAACGCACAAATGCAGCACGTGCTTTCCTCGCAACAGAAGCGAAAATCCGCAGGCGGCTGCTGCTGGTTTGCAAGCACATTCAGCAGCAACACTGCCAGTCTCTGTCTGGAGCGCACACATTCTTTAGACAAGCAGAAGCAGCAGCAACAACAGCAGCGGCAGCACCAGTTCCTAGGTCTGCGGCTCGCCCTGCGACGTCGCCTGAACTCACGCGGTGTCTGG